TTAGTGAGACGTATTCTAGCATTCTTTAGTCTGATTATGACCAGTTTCTGCCCTGAGGATCTTGAGTTTTGCCTTCCCCCTGTCTGCTCTCTTTGTCTGATCTGATCCTGGATTCCATCGGCTTCTGAACCTGGACCTGTCTTCTGACTCCGGCTTTGGATTTCCCCCTTGGACTCGGTTGCTGCTCGGCGTCGGCTGGCGTCTGATCCACACGCTCTCTAGGAACTCTGGGGGGCGTGGCCTGCCGCAAATGCGGTCTAACCTCCCGTCTGGATTCAGCTGTGTTCTCCTTGAACGGACTGAACTTTAAATCAGAAGCCGGTTTGGCTTCTGACCTGATCCGGGATGGATCAAAAACACATGAAAGTGCATGCTGTCTGCAGCGCGTCTGAGCAGCTGAAGCGGCATGTCGCACGGAGCTGGCAGCTCCGCCCAACGCGCATCAGACCCACTTTTTCCAATGTGCAACCAAAGCTGCTTCAGCCACGTGTCACAACTTAACTTGTACAAGCATCAAAAATGAAGCAGCACATGAGTTTTTGCTGGTCTTGCTATTTTAGGCGTGAATAGGGTGACCAGACATCCTATTCTTTCCGGACATGTCCTTCTTTTTATACCTAAAGAAACGTCCTGAGGGAATTTCTAAATCGTCCCAGATTTTGGTCGACTACAGTGCAGCAGAACCGAGCTGTGAGCTCCGGGGCCCCAAAAAAAAAAAAGTGTGAAACCCAAATCTTGTCACCATAGGTGTGAACTTAGCATAACAGTAGCTCGCTTCTTGCCATGGCGTCCTGCACGAGCATTGGGGGGTCAATTCGATAATGTGTCAGGGTACGTGCACGGGGGGGTGGGACAAGCAGACGACCGTGATTGACGTCTCAGGAACCAATCAGGTACAACGGACTGTCTTTTGCGATTGGTTGGGATTACTCATTGATTTCTCAATGAAGTGGGGACGATTTATTTTAGTTTCACTTCCAGACCTTCTATTTCACTGCTTCCTAAGCGGCTGTGCGGAGATCTTTAAGCCACATGGTAAAAATGCACCTTTAAATTGAATTTAACAAAACACACTTTCATCCAGTTCTGTATTTATCTGTCCCTTGAAAAAATTGCAAAAATTGTGGCTATCTGTGTTACAGTTTATTGCAAAAGTCCTCCTCTGCTTATGATGTATTCTGTGGCCCAAGGGTGACATTTGCTAAACTATGCAAACTCAGATGATGCAAAAGTGATGCCATCAGGGCCGTCTGGGTTTGGATTTGAGACGCAGGAAAAAAAAACAAAAAAATGCATTCTTCTCCAACCGGAGGAGTGAGGATTACAGTGTTGCATCATGGGAATATAACATACAGTGTCTCATGTAGCTCAAACCACAGACATCCTAAATGCCCAACAGTTATTCTATAAACAGCCATCAGTAAACAGAATCATATAAAAATGAAACTTTTTTAAAGAAAGAGGCTAAAATCAAAGACAGCCAATAGCTTTCAGCTTCCTACACATCAACGCCAATTAAAAGCAGCCTATTATTCATAAATGGCTTTAAATTATACATACTGTTTTTAGGCCCTGCGATATCTCCTAATTAGTCTCTATGTTGATGAAATATCTGGTGGTATATCAGCGAGGAACAGCAAATGAGGCCCAGATGCCCAGTGAAAGCTTTGTCTAATAAAGCTAACAGAAGTTACTCTGATCTCTCTCTCTCTTATAGTGTGTTGGTTGGAGTGTCTGTGCACACATACAAAACAGTTGTTTGTTCTTCATTATTTCTGTGTCCTGCTCCTGGCACGCTGCGCAGGCAGCCTGGCAGCCAATTGCTCCCATGACCCTGCAGTCTTGCCACGCTAACAAGCCAGCGACCACACAAACAGCCCGGTGAAGTGGTCGGCTAGCGCACGAGCGGCGACACAGATTCATTAAAAAAATAAAAATAATAAGTTGCGTAGCCTTTCAGGTGGATGATAACACGACAGCGGAGGTTGGACGGCTGCCATTCCTTGTGGCCTCGCTGATTGTTAGCAGACATGCACAACCGAGAGTGTTGAGGACAGCAGGAGAGTCACAATCATCACAGGATCGGAAAGGAAAACATTGCTCACAAAAGCATAAGAGCCGAGCCCGCTCCCTTTTCACCTGAATGCTCCTTTCTTTCTTTTATTTGCACCACAGAGCAGCAGCTAGAGCGAGCAGGCGGGAGGAGAAGCGGAGCCCAGCTGATCGGGACACAGCAGACTTCATGATGAATCACATGATCACCTGCAAGGCCTCACAGCTCCTCACTCAGGTAAGGATTACACCTCCAGAGCAAGGGGGAGGCCTTCCCCTCTCCCTCCTCCCCTCTCCTCCTTTTTTTCTCCACATCTCTCCCAACATTCCCACCACCATCTCCAGAACAGATGTCTGCAGTAACCCAGTAGCTCCCTTTGCTGTAGACACATGGAGGTGCCATCTGGAGCGGAACGCTGTTCCTCTCCAGACGGGGTGGAGCGTGTGTGTTTATATGTGCGAGAATGTAAATCAGTTAAAGAGCTCTGATATCGTTTTTTTTTCTGTGTGACATTTGTGAACGGGAGGAGTCTGAGGGATCCTTGTGCTCTGATGACACACCTGAGAACCTGAGCTTTGGTTTTCTTTCTGCGCCTTTCATAGGCAGCTGAGCCAGGCTGACGGCAGGTGGCTGCAGCCTTCAGCTGCTCTGCCTAAACAAGCAGCTGGAACTTCATTCCCATCCTGAATCTCAGGCTGCTTAATCTTTATTTTTTCTTTACATTTTTTTCAACGTTACAACCACAAACTTCAATTTTTGTTCAGCCCCATTTACTTCAACCCCCCTAAATATAATCCAGAGAGCTTTAAATAGGGATTGTGTCTGTGTGATTTAATCTCAGCATCAATCCAGCTGTTCTCTGAAAGCCACAGAGGTTTGCTGGAGAGCATTAGTGAGCAACAGTCTTTTCTTTAGCAGCAACAATTGAGCTGTCATGAATCCAAACTGGAATTATATAGCAGGGCTTTGATCTTCAGAGATGCTCTTCACGGGGGCGGAGCTAGATGGAGGGCCAGGGGTGGTCATGGCCACCCTTAGCCAATCATCAGCCACCCCTGTGGTAGTATTGCAACGATACCAGTATCGGGCGGGGTATCGGTATTGGCGAGTACCAACAAATAGGGCACCGATTCCATTTTGTTCATTCATTTATTACCCATTCCAGGTAGGCAATAAAAAGTTCTACTGGATTCACTTTGTTTTAGTCTTTTTCCTGCTTCACAAAGGTAGGCAGCAGCTTGACAAAGCCATGATGACAATTATTTTACATCCAATTAGTAGGCACTTCTTCATATATACCCACACACATCTATCTCAAACAGATGGTATCGGTATCGGCCGATACTGCACAGCCAGGAATTAGGTATCTGGTAAGTGGAATGTTCTAACTTATTTAACATTCTAATTTTTCATATATTAACAGTTAATTGACAACAAAAACACTGTGGTTAATTATGCACATCAATATACTACTAAAGATCCACTAGAACTAGATTCTCTCCTATGGGGTAAAGAGAAAATTATGTCTTTGCAAGTCATCTAGGAGTCTTCAGTGAAATCAGAGATAAATAACTACTTTAATATTAAGTAATCAATTAAGCGAAGATATTAGAAGATTGAAATGTTGATTTTATGCAGAACAAATATGATCTGGCCTGATGGCTCACCTTAATTGTTCATTTCACTCACCTGCCTAACTCTGCCTGGTTTTCAAATTATCACTCATCTTATCCACCTGCGTCTGTTGCTTTATTTTTGTGTTCCGTTCTGTTAGTTTTAGTTAGTTCTAAGGTTCATGTCCTGGTTCCTGGCGGCCAGTGGAGTGAGAGGGTTTTAGTGTCTGTCTTGTCTTTTGATCATGTCCTGGTCCTTCTCCGCGAAGCCCTCAGGGTTTTGGCTCGTAATGCGGAGAAGGTCAGTTTTCCTCCCGTAAGCCTGGCTCCAAGGAGGAGACCAGTTTAAAGTCCTGCTGAAATCCTGGTACAGCGTCTTGTCTCTGTTCTGTCAACCACTGAGCCTGCCCGTCTGCATCTATGCGTACTTGCGTTGGCACGCTTCTGGAACCATTAGACTCTGGACTCTGAACCTGCCTTGTCTAGGGTTGCATACAAAATATGCAAGTAATGACAATGATTAAGGTGTTCGCCCCAGAACTCAAACTTGAAAGAATTTTGTCCACTACAGCTTTAATTTGTTATCAAAGGCTGTAGGAAAGTGTAGCTAGTCTTTATTTAGAAAATATGGATGTTGTGGTTGTTCATAGATTGACCCTGAGGTTCTGGCGCCTATCCGCTTTCGGCCATCCCTCAGTGTAGATTGGTAATTGCCAGGCAACCCTTAACCATTAACATTTTCTGGTTACACCTCTGGCTCTCCATTCAGGCTTTGTTAGAAAGTTAGTAAAGAGAAACGGAATACTTCAAACTAGCATTGTGGGGGTCCGTTGTCTAAAATTACACCCAAACACATTGGAGTTGTGGTTGCAAAATGCTGACATAGAAGATCTTTTTTGGACATAATAAAACAAATACCAATAAAATCCAGGTTGCAGGAGCTTTTGAGAATTCATACATGTAAATGTGGTTGGATCCATGTTTTTAAATGCAAACAGCTCCATATTTGATTCCTTCCCCCTGATCACAACACGGAGGAGGACAGATGGAGATGTTATGGAGCTACTGGGCTACCAAAAGACTTTGGTGAACCCACGATGGACAGCAGCAGACACCCGGTAGAAACACAACCCACACCCAGCAGCAACAGAACCAGAGAACAGGACACACAAAAGAAGGGAGCGGGAAGAGAGAGGAAGAGGAGCGGGAAACGAAGCTCTGAGAGCCCACAGGAAAGGCAGAACAGACAGAGATGCACACACAAGCTGAGGGCGGTGTGAGCGGAAAGGAGAGCAACTTATACATGTACACAGTAGAATGTTTAATGTTCTAACCATGGTAAGGAAACTGCACTCCATCGCTCTCATGCTTAATCTTCCTCTCCTGCACACTGGCCAAATGGTGCTGCACTGAAAGGCCAAACAGGGGAGAAGGGAAGAGTTAACAATGGAGGAGAGATAATGACAGAGGAAAGAGAGAAACAGATTGAGAAACAGAGCACTGGGGTTAAATCATATGGGTATTTAATAACACAGAGAGCAGCAATATTATAAAATAGTTATCAAATGGGAAGCATTTAAGAGGGAGTTTCCTTAAGCAAACCCTGAAGTCAAATACTGCACCAATGAAGTCACATTGCAAATACATCCGATGAGAGAAAGTCATCATGACGGTTAGAAGCAGGGAGGGTTGAAGGTCTCACACTCTAGTCCTCAAAGATTCCTCTGGGCCTCAACACACCTGAATCCATACGTGAACATTTCTCCATAAAACCTGACAGCTTTTTTTTTTTTTCAAAGATCTGAAACTTATTTCAAGAGACTTGACAACATTTTCTCTAGAGATGGCAATTTTTTTTCTTGAGACAACATTTTCCTGAGACCTGGCAGTTTTAACATTTTCTTCAGACCTAAAATTATATTTCTGAGACCTGAAAAACCTTCTTCCTGAAATTTGACAACATATTTCCTGAGACATAAAACCTATTTATTGAGACCTGACAACCTTTTCTCAAAAAATAACAAGGTTTTTCTGATAGTTAACTTTATTACTTAAGACCTTACAAGATATTTCCTGAGACCTGACAGCCTTCTTCCTGATATTTGACTATATTTTCCGAGACTTAAAAACTATTCATTGAGACCTGCCAACTTTTCTTCAGTGGTTTTCCTGAGAGTTAACATTTTCCTCTGACCTAACAATCTTTTTCCTGAAAATTGACAATATTTTCTGACACCTGAAAATCTTTTTCTCGAGACCTGCATTTTTTTTCCTGAGACCCAACATCTTATTATTTAAGACATGACAACAATTTCCTGATACCTGACATTTTCCTGAGACCTAAAGCTTATTTATTGAGACCACACAACTTTTTTCTTGAGACATGTCAAATGTTTCCTGAGACCTCACAACTTTTTTCTTGAAAATTTACAAATTTCTCTGAGACTTAAAAGCCTTTTTTTCTCGAGAACTGAAATTTTTTTCCTGAGATCCAACGTCTTATTACTTGAGACTAGGTGTTTGGGGGGGAAAAAAATCGATTTTGCAACACAGTATATCATGATTTTTTGCCTCCCAATATAATACCGATACTAAAGTGTCTAATATCGATTCTTTTAAAAATACAAAAACAATGGGGAAATATGCACTACTTCTGCACCCCCACTCCGGTATATGGGGCCTTGGGGCCCTTTTGCTTTGCATGTAGTCGAGGCAATCCCAGTAGCAGATGCTGAGTGACTCAAACCCCAAACAACATGGCTACCAAAACAACAAAATAACTGAATGATAAATATCTTCTACTGAATATACAGCACTTGATTTTTGATCTCTACATTTAATTTTGACATTAGCCTATATCTTGATATTGCAATTTGTGACAATATCGTATCCTGACCCAAGTATCGCAATGCATATCGTATCACAAAACCATTGCCAATACTCATTCCTACTTGAGACATGACAACATAATTCCAGAGACCTGACATTTTCCTGAGACCCAAAAATTATTTATTAAGACCTGACAACTTTTTTCTTGAGACTTAACAATTTCTTTGAGACTTGAAAACCTTTTTCCTGAGAACTGTCAATGTTTTCATGAGACCCGGAAACATATTTTCTAACATCTGGCCATTTTTTTTCCATCAACCTGACAACTTTTCTGCTTCATCATAAATGACTCCAACTCATTAGCATAGCTCGGCTTCAGGCTCCTGAGCTAGTTTAACCATTTGAATGGGGTTTTTAGGGCAATCCTTGAGGATTAGAGTGTGAGACCACTGGGTTAGAGATACTGGGGGTTGCTTAAATGGCTGGACGACTGAGAGGAATGAAAATAGTGAGACTGAAGGGCACGTGGGACGGTGAGTGGGAGTTAGGAGACAGAGCTGAGGAGAACTGCTCTATTTGAAAATAAGAAAGAAACGTGGCTGAGATTAAATGAATGGGTTAGGATCTTAGGATACAGATTATCCTTCTTCTGCGTCTGCATCCCTTCTATTACAAGCCTGTCTGTGTTTGTGAAAGACACAGACAGGCTTGGCGTGAAAACTGAAGCAGACAGCCAAGCCTTGATAAAGGTAACACAGTTTAAAACACTGGAGACAATCTTAACGGAACATGTAATTCAAAACCGGTTCTTTAAACAATAAGATAAAATAAGAAGAATCTTGCTAAGTGCCTCTAAATCTGTAACCTCACTGTGGCAACAGATTGTCCTTCTGCCTCTGTTTGGTGGAACATCTTTGATAAAAGTTTTTAGTGGAGTAGAAATGGGGACTAAAATGTTGGGAATGGGGAGGATGAGGAAGGAAAGCGAAGAAGAGCAGGAGATAAAAGCAACAAGTATTAAAACAGATGTTTGATGGCAGAAGGTGAGCTGCGGCTTCTGCTTCAACTAAACCAGGAGAAGAAAACAATTCTACTATAATTTTACATTTACATTTCTACTATTTCAGATATAAGGAAACATTTGACATTTCTGGAAGATATAAGATGTTGACAACCAGTTGCAAGAAGTAAGAACATAGAGACCAGAGGTTTAGATTCTCTTAATATGGACAATAATGTCATGGTTATTTGTAAATTTGAATGGTTTATCAGAAATATTCTTCCTCCAGGAAGAAAAAATAAAAATATCAACCAACAAACAGCGTCAAAATCCAAAACTGCAGCTGGAATTGTTTTCAATAGGAAGCACTAAAACTCTCAGGTGTATTTAAATTTGCTAAGGTTACTGATAGCACCTTCTTTCTTGTGACTCTGTTTCATGGTTTTCCTCTTTTGGGAATTTGAGTTTTTGGTTTTCAGTTATCACTTATTCTATTTTGTTGATCTTGGGTGTATATACTGTTTTATGCATGTTTAAATAGTCTAATGCCGTCGAGGCAAACCGTGAAGAGGCAACCGGGCCAGAAGCTGCTCTTGAAAGGGATTCCTAAGGACAGAGCACCGCCGGTGTACGGGGGTCTGAGCGGCTCTGACAGCGAAATATTTGAAGAAAAGATTTAATCTGAATGAACTGACTGCACAGATGAAGTTTTCAGGTGGACTCTCTTACTTAAAAATATA